AACTCTCTTTCAACCTCTCTCTCTTGGCCTAACACGGCCGACTACCCAGTGCCCCAAAGCAACGTCCAGAACGTGCTTGCTGCACCCCGCGTAGTTTACCTTTCACACTAGTGCGACGATATCACGGTATCTGTGCGCGGGCGTAGCCTTCCGGGGGTTGTGCAGTCACACGCAATCGGTAGACTCCCATAACAACATAAATCATGGAGGGCATCGACCTCTCCGCCCTTAGCGAGCAAGAACTACAGCAAAAAGTGGAGGAGATCGTCCAGCAACGAGTACNGACAGCTGAGGCCATCGCTGAACAACAGGGCTTTGCCCGCTCAGGCACGTTACGTGTCAATCCTGGCTCAGAAATAGAACCTTGGCTTGGTAGCGTGAAGAATGAGCACGATTTTTATATTATGTTTGATATATTTTGTAGGAAGATGATTTCAGATTTTCAGGAGGAGGGTGTGCATGATGCGTTGGAGCTAGAGGTCGAGGTCAAGGTCGGAAAAAGGGGTGTGAATATACGAGACCTTCGGAGACTTTTTGGGAATGAAGTGGTTGACAAGTCATTCAAACAGTGGAAATCCTGATTAGCAAGGTTTTGCACCCCCCGATTCAGAGCTTAATTCTGGCGTGTGAGAGTCCCCAAAAGTGCTGGAAAATCGTGACAGAATTCTATCAGGAGAAAAAGCAGTCAGAAAAGTCGAGGTTGGAGCAGGACTGGAAGGAGTTGCAGATGAGAGAGTCCGAGAGTCCACAGGATTACATTGCCCGCTCAGAGACCCTTCGCCTGCGTCTCGCATTTGTAGGTACAATTAAGGATGACACAGATGCCAACAAAGACATTGCTCGTGGCCTTCCCTCTTCGTTGTATGCCGTGCAAAAAGGAATACTGCTTGCCCATGATGTCCTGACGTTGCATACCCTTGAGACTGTGGTGAGGGACGCCCACATGGAGATGGAGCGCGAGAGGAGCAAGGGGGAGAGGCGCGAGGTGGAGCTCGCTCTCGCCGCGTCCGGCATGGGCCGGNGTCTCCAGCAGCAACTGCGGCGCGCGCGTTCGAGAGAGGGCGCCGCGGAACGCCGCTCGGGCGGCGGAAGCCGCGGTGGCGGCGGTAGCCAGCGAGGGGGCAGACCGCCGCCGGGGCCAGGCCGCGGTGCGGACGGGTGAGGCTAGAAGGGCAGCAGCACCACACCGGTCATGGTGGCGGTGGCTGGAGCCAAGCCTCACCCCCCCCGCGACCTCTTCGTGGACGTGGACCTGGTGGTCGTCTGGGGCGGCACCCGGGGGGTCGAGGGCCCTCGGGACGCCACAGCAGCGACGGGCGTGCCGAGAGAGAGCGGGCAGGGAGAGGCCCGGGGCACGCGCGTTCTGGCCACGGAAGAGAGCAGGCGTACGTTGTGTACTACGCCCACGATGATGGTGGCTACTATGAAGACTACGGCGACTACGACGACGGCTACTACTACGAAGACGGCTACCACGACGCCGGGTACGCCCACTACGCCGGCGGTGGGGACAGCTACAGCTACCCCTCAGGGTACGAAGACAGACGTTCATCGGACGGCGGCATCCACTACGTGTACTACCCTCCTGCTGACGAAGATTCGTCATCCGAGCAGCAACGTCAGCCCCCCCCCCGCTAGCACCACCGCTTCCTCCTCGTCCTCTACTCCTTCTCCTGGCGCGCCTCCATCTTCGGGCTACCTCCACCTCTGCACGGCACAATCGGTGCCCCTAGGCAAGTCTCACCCTGACGATTTTTTCAGTAGGATAGGAGTGACGATAGGAGTAGAGTCTGCTTCTAGTGCTTCGTCTTTGCTGAGTGTGAAATCTAGTGAGGGGCCGCCTGGTAGCGAGAGATGGGTAGCTGACTCAGGAGCCAGCAACAGTTTCACCAACNCAACAGTCTCACCAACAGCAGCCTACATATGTATGACCTGCAAGAGATCCCTGCCAGTAGGAAGTATGTCATTGTAGGTGATGGTCGACTGCTAGAAGTGCAAGTCATCGGTAGTATTAATCTTAGTTTCTTTCAGGAGGATGAGAATGGTGAAGAAACGACGATGTGTGTGAAGCTCACTGACGTGTCTGTTGTAAAGAGCCTGAGTTTCAACTTGTTCTCAACGCATGCTGTTTCTCTGAAGCAACCAATCCTCTACGACGAACGTGGTGCAACCCTACAAAATGGACTGCTCTTTGCTAGAGAAGAATAAGCGTCTGCAGCGTATGCCATGCGGTTGCCGTAGGACCCACTTGCGATTATTGTAGACCCTGCTGCTTTGCCCGCATTCGTGACTGCCCCCGATTCCGCTCCCGCCGTTGGCTCCGCGCGTTCCCCTTCCCAACAGGGGGGCTCCGCGAAATCATTGGTGTCCATGTTGCGGATTCCTCCCGCTGGCTCAGCTAGCGTAGTGCCTTCGGCTGATAGCGTCCCGCCCACTGGTCCCACCAGTGTAGTACCTGCGAGTGAGAGCGTCCCGCCCGCCGGCTCTGCCGACGTAGTACCTTCCTCGGCGTCCGAGTTTGTG